CCCCCACGGCCGGGAGGACAGACCGGACACGGTCCGAACAAAAAACGGCCATCCAACCAAAACCTCAAAACCACCCTATATGTCTAGTCTATCCGACACAAAGCTGGCCAAACGGGCGGGCCTGGCATGCCAGCCCGCGAGGCAATAAGCGATTGCACGACGATGTCTCGCTCAAGCTTTTAGACTAGTTGGGCCGACCTATTTTCGCGCAGCTTTCGAACGAATAAGTAAGGGAAATAGGAAGATGCGGGGATCGATCTCCTGGTTGCTAGGGAGAGAGCTCACTTGCGCTAGCCACTACGCGAATGCCTTTGCGCACGGCAAGTTGATGGCGTGTTTTATACTTGAGGCAAACGAAGCCGGGTTTTTCAATAGTTGTTACGGGATTTTTTTTTTCTGTTTTTTCTTTTTGTATTGATAGAGTTTTCTTCATTTTTTTATTTGGTTCCTTTTTTTTACCTTCTCTAACTTTTTGTTGAACTTTCTTTTTTTCTTCTCCATTTTTGTTTGGTTTTCTTTCTTCTTCTTCATTTTTTGTTTTCTCCTTATGTTTGATTTTTTTGCACTCTACATTTTCGTATATGCCAAAATCATTTTTTAATAAGTGATCAACATTTGTTTGTCCACATGTTCAACGCTTTTTCAAAAACAAAACAAATACTTGTTCAACATTTTAATACTTATTCAAGATTTTTTAAATACTTGTTCAACAATTTTTAATATTTATTTCAACATTTTTCAAATACTTGTTCAATATTTTTTATGCTTATTCAATATTTTGAAATACTAGTTCAACATTTTTCATACACTCGTTAAACACTTTTTAATAATTATTCAACATTTTCAAATACCTGTTCAACATTTTTTTAATTCTTGTTCAATATTTCTTTAACACTTACTCCACATTTTGCAGATACTTGTTCAACATTTTCCCAAATGTGTTTCAAAGAGTGTTTATTTATAATGTGTGTGTGTGTGTGTGTGTGTGTGTGTGTGTGTGTGTGTGTGTAGAATTTTTTTAAAATATAAGAAAAATATGAAAAAAAAAGCAAAAAAAAAGGAGCATGGAACAGGAAAAAAATCTAGGCGGCTAGCCTCCTGCGCGGTTGGGCCGGCTCATCTGGGACTGCCCCGATGGAGAGCTACCCCTAGCTCGCTTAAAGCGAGAAACAGGGGCGCCTCCATGCCTTGGCCTGAAGGTTGAGCATCCGGGCCGGCACGACATGGCCCGTTTAACTTTTTTATTTTTTATTTAGATTTTTTATATATATACATGGCATAAGAAATAGCCCAATAGACCAAAATCGGCCCAAATAACAGCCTATCAGGCCAACAACCTAGCAAGCCAGCGTGCCTGGTGTGCCGTTGGGCGGCCCGCATAGCTCATGGGTCGTGCATGCACTGGAGGAGCACACGGGCTGGCATGGCACGCCCCGGCTAATAATCATGCCATGGCGGGCCGGGTCGTGGCAGGCACGATTAAGATAGGCCATGTCGGGCCAGCCTGTTTGGCATGCAAATTAACTAAGGAGTTAGTTACGGGATGATGTATTACGAAAGGGTCTTTTACATCTGTGTCCTTAACTCGAACCCACTACTCACATTTGCCCCTAATTGAAAAGCCTGCTAAAAATGCCCCTCCGCCGTTAGGTGTCCTTATAGAAATGCCCTTCCGTGCCGTTTCTGTTAGGTCAAAGGCCTTTGACCGTCTACGAGACGTTTCTTGGACATTTTGCCCCTGCCTCCATGTGTCACTTACATGTGGGACACACTTAGGAAAAAATAAAAATAAAAACACTTTCTCTCACCCCCCCTCTCTCTCTCACTTACATATGGGCCCAACTAATAAAATGAAAAATAAAACTTGATATGGGTCAGTCATTGTTCTATTATTTCTGAAATGTTATTTACTAATTTATTTGAGGGATGGACCCACTAGTCAGCTTTTGTGAAATGAGTGTAATTAGAACTCATAATAGTTTAGGATAATCTGGGATTAGGCTAACTAAAAACACGCCGGCGGCCGCGAGGAAGACACGACGGTGATGTACGGGAGGCCGCCGGAGCAGTCGATTGGCTTCAAGATCGGGCTTGTGAGGTTGCGGGAGAGAAGCTTCAGTGGCCTAAGGTGGCCAGAGAATGTGGGGTGTCGGGGAGGATGGGAAGTTGCGAGCTTGAGCGGTGGCGACGGGAGGTGCTCGCCGGCAGAGCTTCTAGAGGAGAGAGGATAATCGGGAGCAGGTGGAGGATGTTCAGGAGGAGATTTCGAAACTCAAGAACCCAAGGTAAGGCTGCAATGCTCACTGGTGGAGGAGATCGAGCGGCGGCGGCGTGACACCGGAGCTGGGGAAGACGAGGAAGGATCTGTCATTATTGGGCGGTTCAATCCAATTAATCGCACCGGGCGCGGCGAGCTGGTGACCGAGCGCGGTGAGCTGGTGGAGGAGCGCGGCGAGCCAGCTCTAGTGGCGGCGCAAGGACCGATTCGCCGGCCGTCGGATGTAGTTCACCGGAGACGATGGACAGGGCAGCGGAGCGCGGCGAGCTGCCGATCGGGCGCGGTGAGCTGGTGG